TTCCTCCAGAGCCGACAAAGAGAGAAAACCTTCTCCTGGAGCTGATGCCCTGAATTTGGACTTGTAGCCTACTGGACTATGAGAATAAATTTCTCTTTGTTAAAAGCCATCCACCTGTGACATTTCTGTTATAGCAGCACTGGATGAGTAAGACACCTTCCCTCAATTAATACATTACCTCTTCACTTTTGGTATCTTTTGTATTGTTTAGTTTTGCAGTTTTTCTTTGTTTTTGACTTTTTGCAATTAATACTTGATATATTATTTAATTTGTTATATCTTCCCAGCTGTAAGATCTTTAAAGGCTAAGGTCATTTTAAAATATTTTAGTATACACAGAGCCTTGTATAGCATTTTACAAAGCTTAGGTGCTTAATTAACATTTGGGGATGATTTTATATGGCAATATTAAATTACTATTTAAATTCCTGATTAAAATAAATTTATTAGTCATACTGTTATTGTGAAAAAGGAGGTTCCTATTTCTTAGATATTAGAATTTGCACATTGGAGAAGGAGCAAGGTAGCATCTAGCCCAACACTGCACTTTACTTTCTTCATCTGTGAAGTCAAATGTTTGAGTAGGCATTTTTAAGGCCCCTGCAAGTTATATAACTTGGTTAGTATAAAACTTTTATCATTTTTTAAGGCTTTTTTTGTGTTCCCAGTACAGATTAATTTATAAGTTATGTAACTGTATGCTAAAACTTGAGTTATCAACAAATTTCTATGAGTGAGACACTCTCATGTTTGAATATAATATTATTAAAGTAATTTGTGGTGATGTAAAGGTTCCTGGGTGGTGCAGATGGTTTGTGCTCAACTACTAACCTAATGGTTGGCGATTTGAAGCCACCCAGCCATTCCACAGAAGAAAGGCCTGGCAGTGTGCTTCCATAAAGATTATAGCCAAGGAAATACAATGGAGCAGTTCTAGTCTGTAACACATGGGGTCATCATGAGTTGGAATTGAGTTGATAGCAAGGGATTTATCCATAAGCCTTGATTTAATAAATGTGGAAAATAAGCTAATAATAATAAAAAAGAAATAATCAGTGAGTGTATTAACTTTTCTGAAAGCACCTATGGCAGTAAAGAACATGTTTTGATATAGATATAGGGAAAATGTTAATTTGTGTGTGTGTGTGCATGTGTATGTGTGTGTAGAGATAGTGAGATATTCCACATACATATATTTTCACATAACTGAATTTATCCCTTTAAGGATCCCTAAATGTAGCAATTTTAAAAATAAGAATATTTTTTACAAAGCTTTAAAAATATTTCCTTGCTTTCTTAGAATAGTTTGCTGCCCTTTTTGAGTTTGTTATCTTTTCTGTTAGTATAAATGTTTCCTTAAAGTTAGTTTGAGTCACTGTGGTTTTGTAAAATCATATAACCAAGGATGTGAGAATTTTGTATGATTCGAGAATCAATAAGTGCTGCATGATAGCTTGAGGGTGTGTCCTACAAAATACAAGCCATGAAATTGAAAGAGTTTGGGCCCTATTTGTGTATTTCTATTTCTTGACTATATTCTGGATGACTTTCTGAATAATTGTGATGTTACTAGGTTTGTAAAATGTATTTAAATAATGCTTTCAAAAAGTATTATGATTATGACAGAAAGGATAAAGAATAGTACACTAAACATTCCTGTAGCTGCCAGTCAACTTAAGAAATAAAATGTTAATGTTACTGTTGAATATTTGAATGCTTATGATGTGCCAAGTACTGTTCTAGGCATTGTGTATACAGCAGTGAACAAAACAGACAAAAATTCCTGTCGTCATGGAGTTGACATTCTAGGAGAGAATTTGTCATTATCTAATAATTGTTGTTGTTCCTGTTTCAAGCATTCTCATGTCCATTGCAGAAGTTGATTTGAATCTTATGTGGGCATGGTTATAAGATAAAATAGTTTCTATTAGAATTGAATGCAAATAAAGAATAAGCTGTGACTTAACAGCATGAAGGGTATTCCATCAGTGTGTTTGGCTTGGTGGTGTTTATTTTGCATACACGTTCAGTCTCTAATGTTTGACTTTATTGTCTGGCCCACATTATCTTATTGTTGGTGACCCTAGATTCATTAGATCCACAAGAGGGAAAGATTCTGGGTCATCTCAGATAATTTTTTTGTTGTCAGTTTGTAAAAATGGCATGGTAGGGTGTCTGACCTCCTCTGACTTCACAAAGGTGGAGAGTCACCTCAGCATCAGCCCAAGGCAGATTCCTAAGAGGTGGAAGTCTAACATACCTTTTCTCTCCAGCCTTTTTACCACCTGTCCCCCCTGCAGAACTCTCTACTTCTCTGCTGGGTTTGATAATATGTTGCAGTGTCCACACAGAACTCACAGACAATACTTGCGATTATGGTACTTATTAGGGAAGTAACAGGAACGACTCAGGATACAGTTCTTCAGTCAAGACAGATTTTCAGCTGTGCCTGCAGGCAGGCCTCTCCCTTGGTCCCTGGGCTCCTTTGCCTGGCCTCTGCCCACCTTGGGAAAGTGTTACAAAGCTCTTTAGCTCTGCCAGTAAGTGCCCAGAGGCACCCTACTTTACTGGGAAATCTCCTGCCTGAAGGCATTCAGGTCTCTTGCTCCATGGATCGGCAAGCCTAGCTCCACTGACAAGTGGCTGGAGGTACCCCATTCCACCAGGGGGCCTCCTGCCCAGAGGCTCTCAGCTCTCTTGCCTTGTGGGTCAACACGCCCATGCCTTCTTTTCCTGTCTTGCTCTCTGGGCTAAGAAGCCCACTGTGCTGTCTCACGCCATTCCCCTGGTTCTGCTGCTACCGTTTCTCTGCTGCTGATTCACACCTTCTCACACTGTCTCTGGTGTTACGGCTCTCTCTCTGTGTCTCCTGGGTCTAGGAGGTTCTTAGCGCAAGGACCCTGGGTCCAAAGGATGTGCTCCACTCCCGAATCTTCATTTTTGATGGTAGTGAGGTCCCTTTTTTTCTGCCTCTGAGATGGCTCATTTTAAACCCAGTGGGATGGCAAAACTGATCAATCCCGTCATTAAGGTTCCATACACCTTATTTACATGGTCTCACCTCCTCAACTATGCCATGCAACTTATTTGCATTATTAGCAAGCTGTCCAATCCCCTTGGTGGGCCACAAGCACTTTATTTGCATAGTTCCTCCCAATCACTATGTAGGGAGTTAACAAGACCATTCATGTCTTAAAGGGCCATGTTAAGTAAGTCACTGTACTGCAGGTATACCATAAAGAAAATCACAAACTAGAAGAAAAGGCACGTTAGATTCAGTAACTTAGAGTTATACATTTAGTATTTCTTGTGATAGGCTGGAAATGTAGAAAAAACATTTGTGTTATAAAGAAAACTATGAACTAGAGCATGGTGAAAGAAACTGGGTTAAATAGAAAAGAATAAACGTACATGAAAGTTCACATTAGAAAATATACGTTATTTTTATTTGATATTGTTTCAGATATCGTCAGATCCTGGAAAAAGCCATTCAGTTATGTGGGGTAGAACAACTTGAAGCTTTGAAAGCCTTTGTGGAAGCAAGTAAGTGAAATGGAAATTCCATGTTTGCTTTGTATTACTCAGCTAGGACATTAAAGCTTGCTCAAGTCTTTTTAAAAAAAAAAAAAATCAAATTATCAGTATTAAATAAGCATTGAGATTTATTTTAGAATGAAATAGATTTTAAATTAGTTACATCTTTATTTTCAATGAATTATCTTTTTAAAGTTACATTCCCAATTAAAGTTGTATAGTTATTGATGGAGCCCTGGTGGT